CAGTATGTTGAAAGAAGTCTATTGTGACTCTTGCAACATGTGGTCGGGCATTATCTTGTTGGAAAGTTGGATCTGCCAGGGTGTCAAGATAGGGTAAAATATGGGGTTCTAGAACTTCGTGGATATAACGCTGCGCGTTCATGTTACCTCTGATGAAGATTTAAGGTGACCTGGAACCATAAGCTATAGCACCCCAAACCATAACTCCAACAGTGTGATGAACATGTCTTTCAACAAAAAACTGTGGATTCCTCCTTTCACACCACGTCGCCTTCTAACCCTGGCACGACCATCGTGCATGCCTAAACAAAATCGAGACTCGTCACTAAAGACAATACTGTTCCATTCCTGATCCCAGAGTGACCGTTGTCTGCACCACTCAAGGCGATTACGTCGGTGTTCTCGAGTTAAAGGGAGGACCCAGTGTGGCCGGTATGAAAACAAGCCAACTTCTCATTCGTCGGTAAACACTTCGCATGCCAATAGGTCTTCCGTGTTCTGCAAACCATTCATTTGCAATCGTCCTGGTAGTGGAGAAACGGTCCCTTAAGGCCAATAATCGTAGACGGCGATCTTCACGGTCTGTTGTTCTACGGCGGCGTCCAGTGCCCCTTGCTCTTTGCGTACGGCCTTCTCGAAGCCATGCCTGACAACACCTAATCACAGTGTCTACACTTCTTTGCACTCTAACTGCAATTGCCCGAAAAGAAAGTCCAGCTTCCCGAAGTCCCACTATACTGCCCCTATCAAACTCACTAAGTTGACGAAATCGTACAGGTCTCCGTACTCTAGGCATCGTAACCGATCGTAAAGGATGTCAAGAACCAAAATCCGCCAACGTTGATTCTTTACTGCGGCTGAAATATTCATTTTTAGAGCTTTAGTGAATTAAAAAAAAGCAGTATAAAAACCGGAATGTCCAACAAAATTTTTTCACTTGTTATTTACAGTAAGATAAATACATTCACCAACTTTTATTAAAATAAAACCATTTAAACTGGGTGTTCGGATTTATATGTCACTTAGTATATTTCCAAATTGGATAAGTAGTTACTTTTCTGCTAGAAGTGCTAGATCTCCTATGGTAAGACATGGTGGGTGTACATCCCGTACTATCCGTGTTACTTCTGGAGACCCGCAGGGTTCCCATTTAGGACCCTTCTTATATAATATACTCATTAATGATCTTGTAAGTTTGATACTTAGTGAAATTACTTTATTTGTGGATAATGTTGAGAGTTTTGGAGATATTAGGAACAAACATGCTGCAAAGAGACTTAGACCATATTACTCAATGGTGTGGAGTGAATGTTCTACTTTCAATTCATACGACATCTTTCAAAATCACATTCAGTTGGTCTCGTTCTCCTATTACTTATCCTCATAGCATCAACGGTAGTTACAAACTAAAGACCAGATCAATGACTTGGTAGTTGATTTGACTCAAAATTATCATTTGACTTACATATTGGAAAAGCTTTCAACTGTGCATAAGTGTTGATCTGCCACTGTTTTGTATTGTTCTTTGGGTCATTCGTTATTTGTGTATTGCTGTGCTATCTGGTTCCCAAGTTATAACTTACAGATCATCTAATCAGATCATGTACGGTTTTTTTTTTGAGAATATGTGGATATAAAAAATGGGTCACATTAGGGAGGAGTATAGTTATACTCTTCTCTACTTGCACAAAATTATCAATGGTCACAAGTGAATGTGAATGATAGGAGAACGCGACATACTGATACTTTCTTCGTCCCCTGTAACAAGGGCTTTACCTGTTGATTCATTACGAAAATAAATATTTCTACCATAAGCGGTCAAATGACCGAATTGTGGCAGATAACTTGCCGTGTCAAGTATATTACAGTATATTCAGATAAGAGATAGACCGGACATAAACAAGACCACGTGATCATCGAACGCTGTAACATTCGGCAGGGACGTATTAAGAGTCACGCAGTACATATTTTAGATAGTAGATGCTGCTTTGCATAACTTTGTAGTAAATTAGCACAATTCGATGTGTATACGATTGGTGATGGATATAGGATCATGTGGGGGTGGGGTAAGAAATATATAATGATGTAAATATACATAAGGGTTTCAAAATTTTCGCTTCGATTTCCAGCTTCGGATGCCGCCTGATTTTTGGGAAATACAGTCGAATATAATCTCAAAATGGCGTTTAAATTAGCCTAAATTAAAAATAATCGTATATCTCTTAAAATTGCTTTTAGAATATTGATTAGTATATTTTTTGATTTGTAGGTAAATATGTAACCAAATTAAAACGTTCAAAACGTAAAAAAATGTGCATGGTTGAACATTGTCAGAAAGTAGATTCTTGAATAGGTTTTGCCAAAATGGGTTCAAAAATGTCAATAATTAATTAAAAAATACAGTAGCTTTATAATTACTTATAAATTACCGAATTTGATGAACGACATCTTTTATTGGAAAGATGAGCTTGATGAGCTTTCATCATCGCTACTGCCTGAAGCACCAACGTCAATAATGAATGGCTCGACTTGTTCCTCTAAAATATTGTCCAGTTCCCACATTCTCTTTTCAACTTTGTCTTTCACGTGCTTAATACAGTTTTCCCATTTTTGGGCTGTTATTAATTGTAGTGCTTCTTTGAAAAGTCCTTTGAGGTCACAAAATTTAAAAGTTGTATTGTGCTTAGCTATATAATTTTTAACCTCTGCCCATATGAGCTCAATGGGATTGAGCTCGCAATGGTATGGAGGTAAACGGAGCACAGTTTTATTTTCGTCAATGGCGTATTTTTGATATTCCGCCTTGTGATCCTTGACAATTCTTAATAATTGTACTTTCAGCATTGCTTCTTCAAAGTTGATATTTTTCGAGCGGAGCCAATTTTGAACATTAACTTGCCTTGAAGCCGTTGTTGGGACCTTCTCCATTCTTCGAGAATGATAAGGCGCATTATCCAACACAATTACTGCGTTCGGTAAAATTTTTGAAAACCTCTGTTCAAACGATTCGCCATTCATTTCCTCGTGGTAATCTCCAGTTTTCTTAGACTCAAAGCACCACAGACCGTCAACAACAAATCCATCCTCACTGCCAATATGGCAGATAATGAGCCTTTTCCCTTTACCGGGAAATCGAAGTACTAACTGGTGTAGATTTATTTCAATAAGCGAACCTTTTTCAAATGTTTTCATCACATTCAGCGAAAAAACATTGAAACATAAGTATCAGATTGCTATAATTGGGATTATTTATGTTAGTCATATTGAAAGGAAGAATATTGAACGTCGTATGATTACTCAGCGCTTCACAATTTAATTTAAAGTTATAAACCTTTAAAAAATGAATGATCAGGAACCTGAAATACGCGCAAATATAAATATTAACAAATTATAACTTTATAAAGCTTAAAGTATGAATTAAAATGATTAGAAATATTAGGAACGGTACACAATATAAAACTTAGTAACTTTTTTAAGTTTATAATATTCGACATATTTTAAGATTATATTAAAAAATTATTGAAATATCGAAAACACATAAAAACATGACTTAAAAAAGTTCTAACAAATGAAAATGACAATAAAACATCCACGCATTTTATCGAAAGTTATAAAAGTTTTGTTACTTGTAATATGTTTTATCTGCCCCCTGGAATTAATGTTTAGAACCTTGTTCCCAAGGTTTGAAAAACATCCGATTGTTGTCTATTACTCGTATTTACCTGCTGGATTTTTTAATCCGGTGGACAGTCCATCTAGAAAGGCCCTCCTGGATGAAGTTACAGAATCATCAACCCATACTTTACTTGTAGTGTGTCCTGCGTTTACCCACGTTTCATCAAGGTAATAAATCTTCCTGTTTTGATTTCTATATTTCCCAATTTTTGTTAAATAATCCCTCCTCCATAGCACAATTTCTTCTCTATCCAGTAGTAAACTATTACGACCCCGTTTTTTCCATTTGAAATTTAAATGCTTCAGTAACGCATGGAAAGTTGATCGTTTGAAATTTGGCAACGTTGTATCTCCATTTACCTCCTGCAGTACTTTATCTATAGTAGGTATTTCATTCCTAAAGAAGAATTCATGCACTTTCCTCCTAATCGCATGCTTATCAGCTTCATCCAATGATTTAACAATACTTTTGCGATGTTTACTGGTCATTGGCTCAGAAAAGGTGTGATTTTTTTTTTGTATTGTCTTAACACATTAAACACTGATGCGCGACACACCCCAACTTTGTGAGAAACCTTCACAACAATTTCTTTGATGGTTGATGCCTCGTTCTCCTCGCGCTCGATCTTATATATATTCAAAATGACCTCTTTCATTTCTGCACTCAGGTGTCCTTTTTTAGAGCGTTTCCTAGGTGGACTACAGGAGTTTACAACTTCATCGGCAGTATCTGTACTACTGGGCATTTTGCGCAAGCAGTGGATAACAATAACAATCAATAACAAGGTATAACAATAACAACGACAAACTCAACAACTTAATAAGATAACAAACGAAAACGTCCAAAGAAATATCAAATTGCAATGATGCACACGACATACGTAACACGTCTGAACCTGAATGTGACTCTGCCTTGATACGACTGCTCTGCCGCTCGGCATAGGCATTTAATTGCGAATTGACCAATGAGGGCTCCTGTTTTACGTCGAGACGGCGGCGTTAGCGTGAAAATCACCCGAACCTTTTGTTTACATCCGGTCTATCTCTTATCTGGATATACTGTAGTAAAAGCGTCTTTGAGTCAAATGAGCAAAACCGATAAGATGATATGCTCGTTTTCGATACAAAACTTCATAAGCGGTCTTTTTAACGGAGGATGGTATGTTTAGTGTTATTAACAGTATAACAATATCGTGTAGACTAGTCTTAACAAATAACTCTCCGATGAACCGGATGAACCGTTTCCTCGATAAAAACACCAAAGAAAAAACTATCTACATTCCATAGAAATGATTGTTACCGTCCCGGACCATCTGTATGAGCTACTGTATTCCTAATTATGTCAACACAGGTCAATATCTCGGAAGCAGAGACGCAACAGGTGTCCGCGTTAGTGCGTCGTGTCAACAAAGTGGACATTAGTGTCGAGGAAGTGGAAATGAGTGATGTGGGAGTGAACGTGAGTGAATCCGGTACTGAGGAAGTGGTGGTGACTCGTAGCAGGGATGCGGATGAGGAGGAAAAACAACTGAAGGCGACGCACAGGCGCACGTCAGTATTAGAGGAGGAGTCTCCCATTCGAAACGCGGAATGTGTCAATCCTTTCGTCAATGTTCATCGCAGGTAAGTGGCTTGCCGGTTGTTCATAAACGTAAATTGTGCGTTCCGAAAACCAACACAAAGCCGGTAATGGGTGGTGGCAGCTATGAAAAGTATTGGAAAAAGGTCTCAAACGTGATCATTCGAAATTATACATTTTGCAGAAAAAATGGCGTCAACCACGTCATCACGTCGTATAGGATCAAGTTCAGTACAATTTAAATCCTCTGAGAAAAAAGTTAGTTATGAACATGTACAGCAGATAAATTAAAAGGATTAAGTCAGTCAAACAGGCCCATACGATTAGTCCATACATTCTTCCCTGCCCTAGTGGTAGTTACCATCTGTCAAAGTTGACCCTTTCCATGTGTGCGGGGCATCGCTGCGACGAGTTATCGTCCATTTCGTGCATGGTCCGTGTGCGTATGTATGTGTTTTGCACTTCCCTATGGATAGATTAGCTAGCCGGACCGGTTCGCCGGACAGCAGGAGTACGCGGATCGAAAACATTTCTCTATGGTTCTATGTTTTTAAAGGCAAATGTACAAGTCTATGATATGTCGGGAGCGTATGATTATACTAAGATAAAAACATCTCTCCAACCCCTATAACCCGGACCATCGAATTTCGTCCCCTATAATTTTTTTTTTCTGAGAATGAACAATACTATCTGAAGCGTCGAAAAACGAAGCAATTTTCAGTTTATTTGGTTTACGGTACGGGCCAAGAGTTAGCGGAAATAAGTGACTTGGTTTTTCGTCATTTACATGTCATAGAATATCCAAAAACACAATATTTCGTTTTCAAATCGCGTTTACAATTCTGCTTCGGCAATTGGCGTAGAAAGTGAAAGGAAAAAGTGACATCCTTTGACTTTTGTTTCTTATATATACTAAGTGACATATAAATCCGAACACCCAGTTTAAATGGTTTTATTTTAATAAAAGTTGGTGAATGTATTTATCTTACTGTAAATAACAAGTGAAAAAATTTTCAGCCTTATCAGTTGGACATTCCGGTTTTTATACTGCTTTTTTTTAATTCACTAACGCTCTAAAAATGAATATTTCAGCCGCAGTACAAAATCAACGTTGGCGGATTTTGGTTCTTGACATCCTTTACGATCGGTTACGATGCCTAGAGTACGGAGACCTGTACGATTTCGTCAACTTAGTGAATTTGATAGGGGCCGTATAGTGGGACTTCGGAAAGCTGGACTTTCTTTTCGGGCAATTGCAGTTAAAGTGCAAAGAAGTGTAGACACTGTGGTTAGGTGTTGTCAGGCATGGCTTCGAGAAGGCCGTACGCAAAGAGCAAGGGGCACTGGACGCCGCCGTAGAACAACAGACCGTGAAGATCGCCGCCTAAGATTATTGGCCTTAAGGGACCGTTTCTCCTCTACCAGATCCATTGGAAATGAATGGTTTGCAGAACACGGAAGACCTATTGGCATGCGAAGTGTTTACCGACGAATGAGAAGTTTTGGCTTGTTTTCATACCGGCCACACTGTGTCCTCCCTTTAACTCGAGAACACCGACGTAATCGCCTTGAGTGGTGCAGACAACTGTCACTCTGGGATCAGGAATGGAACAGTATTGTCTTTAGTGACGAGTCTCGATTTTGTTCAGGCATGCACGATGGTCGTGCCAGGGTTAGAAGGCGACGTGGTGAAAGGAGGAATCCACAGTTTTTTGTTGAAAGACATGTTCATCACACTGTTGGAGTTATGGTTTGGGGTGCTATAGCTTATGGTTCCAGGTCACCTTTAATCTTCATCAGAGGTAACATGAAGGCGCAGCGTTATATCCACGAAGTTCTAGAACCCCATCTTTTACCCCATCTTCACACCCTGGCAGATCCAACTTTCCAACAAGATAATGCCTGACCACATGTTGCAAGAGTCACAGTCGACTTCTTTCAACATAATGATGTCACATTGTTACCATGGCCACCAAGATCTCCCGACTTATCCCCAATTGAGCACGTGTGGGATATGATGAGTAGGAGATTGCTCAATTTGCAACGTCCTCCTCAGACTCTAGAAGCACCTCGAGAGGAGTTGGTTGTTGACTGGAATGAGATACCACAGGAGGACATTTACCACCTGATCAAAAGCATGCCTAGGCGCGTTGGAGAATGCGTAGCACATCAGGGTGCATCCACACATTACTAAAGGTCAAAGGGCTTTAGAGCAGTGCAATCATTTTGAAACTTTTATCATTTACTTATTATGCTTCATTAAGTACTTATACAAAATTTTATTAAAATAAAACCATTTAAACTGGGTGTTCGAATTTATATGTCACTTAGTATAGTTGCAATATCCTGTATGTACCGATTTTAATTTTTGATACATAAATAATCATACTTCATGTATTTAGAATTTCTTGAGATCCGCATATCCGACCTAAAATGGCACTGCTAACGGCAACAACTGAACAAAATGCTCACTCCAATTTTTTTACAAAGGTTACGGATAAATAAATGATCCAAATAGAAAAATTAATTCGGACAAAATATCTTTCACAACTTCATTTTTTGGTGATGAAGGGGAAGTGGAAGCATTTTCCCACCTTCCAAAATATTTCTGGCGCTTTATATAACTTCATACATTGTGATTTCTTACTCACAGATATATATTTTTTTCCCTCAACAGAGCTGTCAGCGAATGCATCATCGACGAGAACGACAACAGAACGACCTTCACTGCCAAAGATGCCAAATCCAAAGACAAAAAGAAGAAAAAGCTCTCCTTCAACAACATATTCGGCAAGAAAGATAAAACTAAAACCAAAGACGTATCTAAGGAAGAAGAAGAAACTCACGACAATCTACCTCAATTACCAGTGTTTTTTAGCAATACTTTAGGCAAGAGCAAGAAGTATGCCTCCGCTATGGAGTTGCATCAGAAGAATCACTCGTTGCATAGAACTCCGTCATTTATTAAGAAGTTAGTGCATATAGGCGAGGACTCGTCCAGTTTTTTGAAGAGATCGTTAAGCTTCCGCGACTTTACGAAAAAGGCAAAGGACAACTCGAGAGAAAAGTTGACTGAAAGGAAGACTCAGGAGTGGAGACAGTCTCTGCAATCGCTAGTGGAAAATGATATTAGTGTTAGTTACAGTGATCTCAGCTTCGTGAACTATGATGCCCTGAATGACATTAACTATGAACCTGCGAATTTGAAAGCCGGTACTGGAGATAGCAGAAACAGCTATATTGGAAGGACGCAAAGTATGATCGAAGTAAGTATAGTAATATGTTTTATATGTGTTTTAATCTTTGTTTTACTTGAATACAAATAATGTACTTGTTCATCTCGATTTGTCTTGTTTGTAACAAGTTTTAATGGATGAACTTATCGGAAATGTACAGAGGATTCATGCAAACTGCCTTCCATGTGCCGCGTACGTATACAGTAATAGACAAAAGTATATAGACAAATTAATATTGTGCTGAATTTCTTGTTTAACTTGTTTTATTAATACACCAACCTGTATGCATAATTTGTTATAGCATAATACTCACTTATACATAAATAAATAAATAAAATAAAAAATTAATTGAAAAAAAAACTGGAACTATGAGGGACAAAAATATATAGACAAAGCACAACAATTGTAGAAAAAAGAAGCAAAGTTCATTGAATTATAGAAAACCAACCATGTTTGTGTTAATATTTTGTAGTATAACCATATTATCAATCACCGCCTGGCATCGTCTCGGCATAGATTGTAGAAGTTCATGACATAAGATTCATCAATATGTCTCCACTTCTGCTCTAAAGCGGCAAAAAGTTCATCCTTGTTTGAATAATTTTTATCTGTTATTTGCTTATCTAAGTATTTCTATATATTTTCAATGGGGTTGATATCGGGAGGCTGTGAATGCCATTTGAGAACTGGTACTTTTTCATCCAGAAAGAATTTCTTTGCGAGATTTGAAGTGTGCTTCGGGTCATTATCTTGCTGGAAGATTGACCTTGAGGACATATTATCTTCCATATAGGGTAACATGACATGCTTTAGTATGTCTGTGTATACAAACTTATCCATAATGCCATCTATTCTATGTAAAGGTCCCATCCCAAAACCCGAAAAGCACCCCCAAACCATGACAGACCCGCCGCCATGTTTGACAGTGGACAAATTGTACTTGGGGTTCAATCTTTGTCCACTAGGACGTCTAACGTAATGAACACCATCTGCAAATTGTAATCGGTCTTACGGTTTTTCCTCGAGATTAGCGGCTTCGTACTCGGGCGACGTGCAAATAACTTCAAATCATTTAATCTTGTACTTATAGTCTTTGTAGAAACACTGGCAATTCCCTTTGTCTCGATTTCGGCTTTTGTCTTGGGGTTTTAAATGGATCTTTGGACGAAATTACTTTTATTAATCTAACTGATCTGGCACTTAGTTTTCTAGGCCGACCACTTTTCTTAGAGGCTTCCAGGATACCTTTTTGTTTATATTTGTTCAATATTGACCAAACTGCTTTACATTTCAGCTTCAAATTTTTGGCAGTGCCCACTTGACGTTGACCATCTTTGTATAACTCAATGATCTTAGTTTTCACATCGAAAGAAATTTCTGGACCACGCGGCATGGCCTTAAAATTACTCAACTTATTCCACAATACTTGATAAACACAAACTAATCCTCTTCTGAAACGAAACTGTACTAAACTATACTTCAACTATTTAAAACTGTAATGACTCATACGCGTGATCAACACGTGATCAGAGCTCGATGCCGGCTTCCTTTCAGTACAGCCGTACGACATATGTCGTTTCTGTGGCTTTGCGGTGGTCAACAGCACAGACAGAGATGGAAATAATGGCTGATTGTTCTCCGCCGGTAGAACCAATGAAATCAAAGACGCGCCTCGACCGGCAGACTCATAGGCGTCGGCAACGCATTGGAACGTGTTTCGTTGAGCGATCGCATATTGTGTGTTTTTATAAGAATTGTTGTGTGATTGTTATTGTTGTGGTTTCTGTGGTTACTGTTTTGGTTATACTTAACCATGGAGAGTACAAATGGCACGAGTGGAAGTACTGAAAGCCAGGGAACAAGTAGACGGCTTCGTAAAGCACTGAAGAGGGACGCGAAAGAAATCGTGCTCAACGTGTTCAATTATCTGAACAGAACTATGTCGCAGGGAGATGCACTCTCGCGTTGTGAAAGTATGACAGGCGTTTCAGAGTGGACCATTCGCAGGGTGGTGCATGAAAAGAAGAAAACTGGAGCTACTACTGATCCAAAGTTTAATTTGAAGGGACGAAAGGCCATTAAATTGGATGACGATAGCAAAATGGCGTTAAGGCGAACCGTACATTCATTCTTCTTTAGGAATGAGATACCAACCCTCAAGGCTGTACATGCAGCGATCAAGGAAAATGAAATTGTACCCCAAATGAGCGCCGAGGTAATGAGGAAATCTCTGCACGAAATTAATTTTCGTTACGAAACGCGTAATCGGAAGTCAGTATTGATAGAGAGACCTGAAATAGTCGCCTGGCGTCGAAAATACCTACGCGAAATGATTGAATATAGGCGACAAAGCAGAAAAATCTATTATTTGGACGAGACATGGGTAAATGCAGGTCACATAGTTAAAAAAACCTGGATAGACAAAAACGTAGTGAGTAACCGACAAGCAAGCATTGAAGGTTTGTCAACAGGTCTTCGTCTTCAGGGAAAGGTCAAAGATTGATCGTAACTCATATTGGTAGCGATAGTGGCTTTTTAGAAGAGTGTGACTTGATTTTCGTCTCTAAGAAAGGAGGTGATTACCATGACGAAATGAATGCCAGCTGCTTCGAGAGCTGGTTTCAAGGGGTGCTTCAGCGAGTTGAGCCCAACTCTGTGATCGTCATGGATAATGCTTCCTACCATAGTCGTCGAGCCGAACGTGTACCAACTATGGGATCTCGAAAAAGTGACATGCAGCAATGGTTGCGCGAAAAAGGAAACCCGTTTGACGATTCATGTGTGAAAGCGGAATTGTATGAAAAAATTAAACAGCACAAACCTGCGAACATTAGTTACGTGACTGATGAGATGGCCCGTCAATGTGGTGTCACTGTGCTGCGGTTACCGCCCTACCACTGTGAACTGAACCCAATAGAGCTCATCTGGGCTCAAGTGAAGGGTTATATTGCGCGCCATAGCACAGCCTTCAAATTACCAGACGTTAAGGTTTTACTTGAGACTTCCATACAGCTAGTAACGCCCGAAGCTTGGCAGAATGCTATCCGTCATGTTGTGAATGAAGAAACAAAAGTGTGGCAGCTTGACCACCACATCGACACCATCATAGAGCCAGTTATAGTCAATTTCACCGAGGAAAGCGATAGCGACAGTTTATTACTGTCAGATGTAAGTGGAAGCGACGATGAATAAAGGTAATTCCCAAATTTTTGACTTACAATATGTTTCAAACCACTCTTTATTAAGCATGTGACAAATCTAGTTCACCCATGTTAAATATTCATACCCCGCCTATGAACAGCCGACTACTGGTAGTTAAGTGATGTTCACGTGGACATCGATGAGTCGTTACAGTTTTAGATAGTTATAGTATAGTATTTCATTAGGCTCTGTACACACAGAAACTAAACTCCATAAATTTCATCCACTCAAAATGAAAATATTGCAAGAGTTAACCGAAGATAATTTCGATAAGCGCGTTGAGTTTTGTCAACAAATGACTGCAGCGATTAACGATAATACCATTCATGTAAAAAATATCTGCTTCAGTGATGAATGCACATTTCATCTAAATGGATTTGTTAATAAACACAGCTGCAGGTTTTGGAGCAATGAAAATCCTCAGGCTTTTATAGAAGGACATACCCAGTACCCTCAAAAATTAATGTATGGGCAGGCATTTTAGCAAACACAGTGATTGTGCCATTGTTTATTAATGGAAATTTGAATGCTTTTCCCTCCCAGAATTAACTCGAAAAAAATCCTCATAGTTTCTGAAATTGTGAATTTGGAGTTGAAATAAAAGAAAGGAATATTGATACCCTCGTATACCATTAATGGAAATGGCGCTTTTATCGTATAAACAAGAAAAAACATCCTACCATTCAGCTTCTGATTTCTGTTATAACCATGGCTTGAAATATTAAAATAGCATATAGTGATTGATAATTTTTAATGGATTGAGTAGTGCTCATTTTCATAAGTGGATAATGAATGTTATCATTGTTGCAAATTACGAATAAAAGCAAAAATCGCAAATCCTCAGATGGAAATTTATTCCAAACATCGCCAATTGTAGCCGTTATGTGTTTGTGATGTTAGTTATACTAAGTGACATATAAATCCGAACACCCAGTTTAAATGGTTTTATTTTAATAAAAGTTGGTAAATGTATTTATCTTACTGTAAATAACAAGTGAAAAAATTGTCAGCCTTATCAGTTGGACATTCCGGTTTTTATACTGCTTTTTTTTAATTCACTAACGCTCTAAAAATGAATATTTCAGCCGCAGTAAAGAATCAACGTTGGCGGATTTTGGTTCTTGACATCCTTTACGATCGGTTACGATGCCTAGAGTACGGAGACCTGTACGATTTCGTCAACTTAGTGAGTTTGATAGGGGCCGTATAGTGGGACTTCGGGAAGCTGGACTTTCTTTTCGGGCAATTGCAGTTAGAGTGCAAAGAAGTGTAGACACTGTGGTTAGGTGTTGTCAGGCATGGCTTCGAGAAGGTTTGCAGAACACGGAAGACCTATTGACATGCGAAGTGTTTGCCGACGAATGAGAAGTTTTGGCTTGTTTTCATACCGGCCACACTGGGTCCTCCCTTTAACTCGAGAACACCGACGTAATCGCCTTGAGTGGTGCAGACAACGGTCACTCTGGGATCAGGAATGGAACAGTATTGTCTTTAGTGACGAGTCGCGATTTTGTTTAGGCATGCACGATGGTCGTGCCATGGTTAGAAGGCGACGTGGTGAAATGAGGAAACCACAGTTTATCACACTGTTGGAGTTATGGTTTGGGGTGCTATAGCTTATGGTTCCAGGTCACCTTTAATCTTCATCAGAGGTAACATGAACGCGCAGCGTTATATCCACGAAGTTCTAGAACCCCATCTTTTACCCTATCTTGACACCCTGGCAGATCCAACTTTCCAACAAGATAATGCCCGACCACATGTTGCAAGAGTCACAATAGACTTCTTTCAACATAATGATGTCACATTGTTACCATGGCCACCAAGATCTCCCGACTTATCCCCAATTGAGCACGTGTGGGATATGATGGGTAGGAGATTGCTCAATT